TATATATATATAATAATGTTTAATGTTTTATTTTCCATTTGTGTTTTTTTTATATATATATATATACTAAAATAATAATAATGTCCCTACTTTGTGGAATTTCGCCAATCGTGGGGGTGTCTGGAACGTAAGCCCCCGTGATAAGTGAGGGACTACTGTATTGCTTTAATTTGTCTCAACCAACAATCATTTTAAAACATGCTGACTTGCTTCAATATGTATTTTACAGCACCTATAGAGTTTAAGGGACTTTCCATGTGTAAATGTGTGAATTTAGTTTAAGAATTGTATATTCATTTTTTACTGATGAAAAAAATACTTAAACACATGATGGGGCAAGACAGCTGGAAAATTAAAATCTAAAAAACAAAAATCTGCCAAGCAATGAAAGTAAATGTCAGATATATATTATAGGCAAATAAAATAAACGGAAGAAAAACAGAACGGTCAACATGATGGATTGTCAACTGCCAAGGAGTAAGAGCAACCTGGGAAAACAAGACTTCAAGGGTTCCTGTCTGTTAGAGTGATACTGGCTGGTGCTGGAGTACTACATATGTGCGCAGTTTATTCTCTCAGTGTGTCTGCCGAACAAACTGTGTCAAAGTCCCAGCTGTCTCTTGGAGAGTGCACCCAAGTGCATCCAAACTGTCAGTGTACAGCAGGTAAACTAGAGAGAAGAGGTCAATTCTCATATTGATATTTCTTGGCTGAGACCTCTCCATAACCTGAACACCAAGACATGTTCCAGTTGTCTTATACGGCTGAACTGACAAGAGCAATGACGCCTGGAAAACTACTGTAGTGGGTTCAATTCTCAACAAAATAAACTCTAAAGGAGCAACCCGTTGAACATATATGATGCTTTTCTTAAAGGACAAACTGGACTTTTCTGATGGTTGATCATTCATCTCAATTCTCTTGTTTCTCAGTTGCTTTCAACTAACCATGAGTCACACAAGAATTCCACTTTTTCTCTTCTCAGCAGACTTTCTGAAAGGATTTGACCCTGTGATAACTGGGTTTTCTTTAGTGCAACTGTTTTTTTTTTCTTGATGACCTTATCATCCAATGTCTGGTCTTCTTCTAAAGCTAGAAGAAGATTCAGCTGATACAATTCCTCACTACCCCCCAAAAAAACATTTTGCATCTTTTCACAAACTACAAGTTTTTATTGTGTTTTATTAGTTTCCTGTTGAGAAATATACAGTACCGAATGTGGTTCCATATATATTTTGAAAACAGAAACTTAAAAAAAAACACATTGTACAGCTTAAATCTGGTTTCAAAGCATTAATCAGATTGAGTCCAGACTGCAAAATAGAACCCGCAAAAGGAGAAAAAAAAAAGGATGTCAAATATGATTGGCAAAATAAGTAACTGATTTTATTTTTATTTTGTAAATTTGAAAATCAGAAAAAATATTTCCAGTTGGGCTTTGGCGTAGACATTTTTGTAATTCATCAGATTTTAAAGGGTTTACAGGAGTGGGTTGCTTTAAGGACAACAGATCCTAAAGTAAGGTCTATTTCACCAAGACCAAAAAACCTTCAGCAACGCTAAATTATTCATGAATGAAATGTTACAAATACATTTTTTAAGCACATAAAGATAAAGTTCATACACTTTATGCATTTCTTTCACTATGCATTAATTTTGTTGTAATACATCTGAGCTGGGTCAATCTAATCTTTAGGGCTGATTCAGTTTTGTTTAACTTGAGCTGATTCATTTTAATTGGGCAGGTCAAGCTAATTACTTTTATCAAACATTTTTCTTTCATAGAGAGAGAGTCACATTTGTTTGAATTAACACCACTCAAGTCAAAGTAAAACTGAATCTTGTGTGTTTTTGGTGTCAGTTGCAAAAGTCTTGTTGAAATAAAGGAAATAAAATCAAATAGAAACAATGGGGCGGAAATTAAACCTGACAATAAATGTACTGATTTACTTAACGAGTCATTTAAAATGAGCTCAACTAGCTCAGTTCAGGTAAGGAGCAACAGCAGGAAAGGATTTCAGTCAGTTGTAAAATATCAGTTTGACCAAACTCATGTTTATAGGAAACAACATAAATGTCCAATTCTGAAAGAAATCAAGATAATTGTGCTGACAAATGTTTTTTTTTTTCTTCTTTCGGCTGCTCCCTTCTTCAGGGGTAACCACAGCGAACTAACTCACACGAAGACTTGGCATTTGTTTTTACGTCGGATGCCCTTCCTGACGTAACCACAGACCACCGAGCTACCACAGTCCTCTCTGTGGAGCAGAGAGCTGCCATCTGCGACGCCTGGGGGAGCAGATGGCAGGGGTTAAGGGCCTTGCTCAAGGGCCCAGGGTGGGGCAAATGCGGGTGTTTCACTTTTCCCATTCACATTTTGATGTTGTCGATCTGGGGAGTTGAACCAGTGACCTTCTGATCACAGGCCCACCTTCTCTAACCTCTGTGCCACCACTCCCACAGAATAAACTTGGATTGATGAATTTAAAACTTTTTTTTTACTCGACATTAAAGGTAAGACAGACACTTTACGTCAGTGGCTAACGTCCACGGCTGACCGCTCCGTGGGACTCTGCTAACCGCTGATGAAACATTTGCCGGAGTCAAAGTAGCTCCGTGTCATGTTTTGTTGGGTGAACTAACCCGTGCTGACAAATGGTAAATGTCTTTTTTAAAATGTTACATATAAGATAAGCAATCACACAAAAAAGTTATCAATTATAAGCTCAGTAGATTTATGGTATGTAAACATGTTTCTGTAAAGGTTAATCATGTTTTTCCATTTTAGTGTGTGATAAAAGCTACTCTGAACTAAATAAGCAGCAACGAACACAGATGAACTTATCTGTTCACCTAGTTTTGTGTAGCCCTTATTGTCAACAGGTACTCAGACACAATGTGTGCTTGCAGATAAGTGAACATTGTGTAAGCACAACAGATAAAATGTCTAAATGTGCAGTACGTGCACACATTCATGTGCTTGTGTTCAGATGATTGAGTGTGGTAATAATTCACTCACATCACTGCTTAGCCTATTTGCATCTCATGAGATCATCATTTTTCTTAGTCAGCTTTCGCCATCTGCTAGTCTTCTGTCTGTCACACAAGACTCATTTCATGAGACTGGACCCAGCAGAGGGGAGATGATGACTGTATATGTATGTGAAATTTATTTTTATTACAGGAGTAAAAATGTGTTAAGGATTTGTGAGTATATCATATATACTTCCATATCAAATCACAGATGTGTGTTTACCATGTGTTCTTGCCTGTCTAGACGCTCGTCTTCTAATTATGTTTTCTTTTTTCTGCGTGCCAACATTTGCGTACTCACATGCGATGCGGACGTGCGCTTTGCGGCTTTTTGTGGTTCCGGCCGAGCTCCAGGCCACACACTGACACCAGTAATCTTCAGGACCGAACAGTTCTTCCACCTGCTGCCGGGTTATTTCTATGCTGGCTTCTCGCACTACGAGACCTGAAAAACAACACGAAGACATCGTTAAGTCATTTGTTGTGTCCTTGTAGATTTATTTTTTTTAAAGCAACTTCTCAAATATAGAAAGAAACAGTGTTTCTTGAAGAAATTGTTTTGTTCTGTTGTTCAATAGAAAGTTTATGAACAACAAAATCTTATGTTGTGCATAGCTATCCCAAGTTTAATTCTGATTTGACTGATTGGAAAATGACTAGTTAGAGGGCCAAGACCAAGTAGTTTTTGTTTTTGTCTTAAAACATTTTCAAGTAAGATACTATCTGTTCCACGCCAAGTCAGAAGAACAGCGCTATATTTTTAGATAATCAGTGAGAATTAAAGCTAAAGTTACAAACTTAAAACAGTAAACATATTAGGAGTTCGATTTAGAGAGAGGGAACATTTTTAATGTCTCCTGGCATTTACAAAGCTGGGTCATTTTCTTTGGTCATTGTCTTCTATTTTTACTGTAAACTTCTACAGATTGCTCCTTTGCACCTCAATTATTTATGTGACTGCACCCTCCTGTTCCTTCTTGTTTTCAGTGTTTTGAAAGTAGCTCCAAAGCAGAGAATAAATACAGGGTTTAAATAGCTGCATCCTACTGATACGACTACAAGGGAGCTCTGAGAGAGGTCCTGCGGAGGAAACTATAAAAAGAGAAGCACAGGGATAAACTCCGGGTGAAATTATGTGTGACACAGGCCTGGGTCCCTGGTGGTGCGGCTGCCTCCTACTCCTGGATGGATGTACTGGAGCCCCCCTCCCCTGGTGGATATCGGAGAATGGGGGTGCCTATTGGGGTCAGTGGGGGAGCTGACCCCCTGGGAGGGCATTGCCACCTCAGTTGTTCCTCTCCATCCCGACATCTTCCTCCGCCCACTCCATTACACCACCACTCAAGCAGGGCCTTGGGGTTCAGGTGCACTACTGAGCTGCGGGGAGGATCCTCCATCTCCATGGTTCGTGGAGACCTGGGCCCCAATTTTATTAAACAACCTAGACACTCACATATAACATTCTCACGACACATGCATATATAGGGTCTGGAGTGGGCACACAGTGGCATATAGGTGGTGGGATGAGTAATCATTCTCATCTCTGTGACCTGTGCCCACTCATATGTAGCATGTAGACATTTAGGGTTCTGGGCAAGGGTTGGGGAGGTGAATGGGCACTGCCTGCTCTCTGGGGAGGGGGTGGGTCTGTGCCGGTCGCCGCCTCACCCCCCCCCATTTTAAACGCACTATATAACAACATGCATTAACACCTTATATGTATATATATATATATATATACATACATATACATATATATATATATATATATATATATATATATACATATATATATATATATATATATATAATTATTATTATTTTCCTTAAACCCTCGTTCTCCGTTTGACGTTTGGGGTCGGGGGCAGGGAGGGGGGGTAGGGTGCCTGGTTGGGGTCTGGGCTGTGGGTGGGTGTTGGGCCATGGGGGGGAGATTGGGGGTGGGGCCGGTGCTCCGGTTCTCCCTGGGTTGTTTGGATCTTTTGATCAGGGTTCCTGGTTGCAGTGGCCGGCACTTTGACTGGGGTGGCTGCCGGGTTTTGGCGGGGGATCGGCTGTGGTTGTGTGTGTGTGTTCGTTGGTGGTGCATGGTGGTGGTCGGGGGCGTGGCTTCACTTTGACGGGGTGCTGGCTGGTCGGCCCGATGTGACATTTACGGTGGAGGGTGCTGTGTGTGTGTGTATGTGTGTGTGTGTGTGTGTGTGGGGGGGGGGGGGGGGGGGGGGGTGCATGGGTGGCGTGCCGGAGTCTCTCCGGGCCTGTGGTGTAGGGCTGTAGGGATTCATGATCATTGATGCACTGGGCCGGCCTTCCTCAGCTGCTGCTCCCTGCTGCTCTGGTCCCCGCCCTAGGGCCGGCTTGCGGTCGCTGTCGGGTGGATGGGACGCATGGACGGCCCGACAGAGGCTCTGTCGGGCCGTCTCTGTGTGCCTGTTTATGTCTCAGGTTAGGTTTTAGGTGGTCCACTCTCTTGGATCAATTTTGGCCCCCCATTTGGTGTGTCGTGCTCCCCTCAGGTGGTGGGCCCCCCTGCCGCCGGTGCATTGGTGGCTCTCAGCATCTCGGGCTGGGTGGTGAGGTGTGTGCGGGCCTGCCCTGGTGGCTGCCTGCCAGGGCCTGGGTGCCTTGGTTCTGTCAGGCCTCTGTTGGGGGGTGGTATGACCTCGTGACTCGGGGCTCGGTGTCCATGGCCGGATCTACTCTGTAGGGGCGGATTGCCGGTGGGGCCTGTGGACTCGTCGCTGCAGCCTCCTGGGGTTTCTGCATTGTGGTTGCTGGGGATTGCCCGGGGCTTCCCTTTGCTTCTCTCTCGGGGGGGTGCGGGTGTCCCTGTTGTGGGAGTTCCGGGCTTGGGGGCTGCTGTGTGTCTGTGGTTCCGGTCAACTCTGTGTTACCACCGTGTCCTGTGGGGACAGGTCTGTGGGTCCCCACATCCACTATTGAACATTTTTATGGAGAAACCATATAGTGACAAGCATGCTCACACAGGTGTTTAGATTCAGGTGTTTATCAGATACACACTCAGTTGGGTTGTGGTGGCCACTAAATATATCTTGTATTACCATGTACTGTATAAAATACTTTCTAATGATGTTATAAGTATCATTATATATGTTGTTTGTTGTTGTGGTTTCACGGTTTTGTCTTGTTTTTTTTCTTTCCGCAGGTCTAGAGGCAGACTTCAATTATGTTGATCTGTGTTCTCTTTATCCCTCTCTCTCTCCTCTATTCCTATTTCCTTATTTACATTTTAACCATTCTCTCACTTTTCTGCTTTGTTATCTTTTTTGTTTTTCATCCCCTTGTCCATTACATCTGGAACAAACCCAAAGCAAATTCTAATAAAATTTAATTTATATATCAAGTGGAGCATTAAGGCCAGCCATAATGCTCTGCTTGTGAAAGTAAATCTGTTGGGCATCACTTTGACACTCAGACAATAATTCTAAGTGTCACAATGCCGGACAAGACAAGGGAAAAAAAAAAAAAGACTATCAGTGAGAATTAAAGCTAAAGTTACAATTTTATGCCCTTTTTTTGGTCATTATAAATGTTATGCTTGCCTAAGATGCAAAACTTGAAACAGTAAACATATTAGGAGTTCGATTTAGAGAGAGGGATCATTTTTAATTTCTCCTGGCATTTACAAAGCTGGGTCATTGTCTTCTATTTTTACTGTAAACTTCTACAGATTGCTCCTTTGCACCTCCATTATTTATGTGACTGCACCCTCCTGTTCCTTCTTGTTTTCAGTGTTTTGAAAGTAGCTCCAAAGCAGAGAATAAATACAGGGTTTAAATAGCTGCATCCTACTGATACGACTACAAGGGAGCTCTGAGAGAGGCGCTGCGGAGGAAAATATAAAAAGAGAAGCACAGGGATAAACTCTGGGTGAAATTATGTGTGACACAGGAAAGGGACAAGAAGAAGAGAGAAGCAAAGGCAGGTCATAGAAGACATTGAGGAGTTTGAAGACATGTCAAAAAATATAACTAATAGAAGAGAAGAAAAAGGGACTGATTGAATGAATAGAAGGGTTAACCAAACCGAATGGTAAAAGGATGGTGCAAGTTAAATAAGAGGAATAAAAGGCTGCACAGTGAGCGGAGGAGAGAGGATGACAGGCCAGGAGGTGGAAGAGGCCAAAACATTGTGAAACTGAAAGAAAAATAGAGATAAAACAGTGTTGAGTATAAAGTCTGTGGAAAATGGGAAGTAGATAGTAAAAACGCTATGAAACAACAGTTGGCAGTTTATTTCAGGCCCAGTAGTGTTGCATAGACCCGAGTACCCTGCTCTATAGCGCTTCACTGATCTAACTTGGGCCTTTTTATGAAAACTCAGTGAGGTCTTTCCAAAGGTAGAGACAGTTTTAACAACCAAGCTGGTAAAGACGCCAGAGGGATTGAGAAAAAGGCAGCGTGTGACATCCAGGAGACAAGATTGGTGGGGATTTGGAGCTACGTTAGGCGAGAACTAAAAGAAGCGCAAGTGCAAAGCATCAGGAATCCTGATGAAGATGGTTCTGAGTTGATAAGCTTTACATGCAGATGGACGGCAAGAGCAAAAAAGAGCCCCTTTGAGCCAAACTGGCAGGGATGTGTGCTATATGAATCTTGTAGAACATGCAATCATGGAAAAGGCTTAGTGGAAATCACAGTAAGGGCTGAGACCTAGGACAGTACAAAACCAGTGTACATGTCAGCATTCAGTCTAACAAGCAACAGCGGGAGAATGATATGCTTTCACAGTTTAAGATTAAAGAGCAAAAGGAGCACATCAAGAAAGGCTGAGGATGGATAACTGGCCAGTGGAAGAGATAATTATAACCAGGAAGAAATCCAGCACTAGCAGACTGGTGTTTACAATGAGAAAGAAAGAAAGAAAAAAACAGTGAAAGGAAAAGGAGGTGGTGGAGACCAGGGAGAACGATACTGGCAAAGTAATGAGGAAAGTAATGCAATTAAAGTAAATGATTCAAATGAGCCAGACAGCTAGTTATGGCAAATGGAGTCCAACAAATTTAAAGGCAGCATATGGGATCTGCAAGAACAGGAACCACAAGACTTAGTGACTCAGTAAGAGGCAGAAAATTAGCTTCTACTCAAGTGTAGTAGCAGCAACATTTAAAGCTCCTTCATCACCATAAATGTGCCTTATTAAGTTTCACGTAAAAAAATGCAAACAATTTAACATTATTAAATCACTGAAGCAGTTCAACTACTACACTGTACTGTTAACAAAGAGACAAATCTAGGCAACCAACAAGAGTATGTTAAGTATGAAGTAAGAAGTTGTTTGTTTTTATAATTCATTATAAACTCATTATGGCAAAGCAGAAAAATAGCATTTGAATTTAAAAAGAAAACAAAAGCCTAATTAAAGGCAGAACGTGAAGTTTGTAGCCATTAGTTTGTTTAGTTTACATTTGCTATTTTGTATTTT